TGCTCATTTGGTACTGGTTTATGCTCATTTGAAAATGATGCACATATCAAACATATCATACTACAATAGATTGACATATTGAAATTAATTACAAACACAATTTAAGAATTTTTTAAAAACGGAAATTAATAAAAAGAAACTGAATTAGAAGGTATGAAGCAGAGACCACGGGTGCTCATAGTTAGGCTCTTAATACTCAGAAGAACAGACTCGATGCTCAATAAAATTACATCAATGCTCATTTACGACAAATCGTGAACTTCATCAAAATTACAAAAATGCCACCGGCTGTACGGTGCCCAGCCGTACAGCCGGCTGTAGGGTATACGCTTCCGGGTAACAGCAAATTCTTGCCGGCCCAACGACCTATTTCGTCATTTTTTTGAAAACCCCAGTTTGTCTAATCTAATTGAACCAGCCCATCTCCGACAATCCAAATTCCGGGCGTTCTGATACTTTTCCCGACGGCCTGTTCGCCGGCAACCCTCGTCAATAGTCTCTGCACTTCCACACTTATGAATGGACGCAGATAGATAGAGAGAGTTCGTAGCTTTCGTTCTAATGGCGGGTCCGTCGCTGATGGATACCATCTTCCAGAGATCCTTGGATGACTTGATTAAAGGAATCCGGCTATTCAGCGGCGGATGCGGGGAATCGGGTTTTATCAACAAGTCCGTCGACGAGATCCGCCGCGAGATCAAGTCTACTGATCTTCAGACAAAGGCCACAGCACTTCAGAAGCTGACGTATCTCCATTCTCTCCACGGTGTCGACATGTCATGGGCGGCTTTCCACGCCATCGAGCTTTCTTCCTCGCAATCTTTCATGTACAAACGCATCGCGTACCTCGCCGCCACGCTTTCCTTCGACCCTTCCACCACTGACGTCATCCTTCTTCTTACTCATCAGCTCCGCAAGGACCTCTCCTCCTCTAATCATCAAGAGGTTAGTCTTGCCCTTCACGCTCTCTCTTCCATTTCCACTGTTGACTTGGCCCGTGATTTGACGCCTGAACTTTTCTCTTTACTCAATAGTAACAAAAATATCATAAGGAAGAAATGTATTGCCACAGTATTGAAAATATTCGACCTATACCCGGATTCAGTCAGAGTATGTTTCAAGAGATTGGTAGAAAATTTGGAGTGCTCTGATCCTGGTGTGGTGTCAGCAGTTGTGGGTGTTTTCTGCGAACTAGCTACTAAAGATCCTAGATCATATTTACCCTTGGCGCCTGAGTTTTATAAGATCTTAGTGGACTCTAGGAACAATTGGGTATTGATCAAGGTTTTGAAGATTTTTGCCAAGTTGGCACCTTTGGAGCCAAGGTTGGCCAAGAGGCTGGTGGATCCTATTTGTGAGCATTTGAGGAGGACAGGGGCTAAGTCTTTGGCTTTTGAGTGTATTAGAACTATCATGAGCAGTCTGAGTGAGTATGAAACTGCTGTGAAGCTTGCAATAGAGAAGTTAGCTGAATTTATGGCTGATGATGATCCGAATCTTAAGTATCTTGGACTGCAGGCGCTCACGACAGCTGTGCCTAAACATTCATGGGCTGTTTTGGAGAATAAGGAGTTTGTGATCAAATCTCTGAATGATGTTGATGTGAACATCAAGCTTGAGGCCTTAAGGCTGGTGATGGCAATGGTGTCTGAGGATAATGTGCCTGAAATTTGTAGGGTTTTGATAAACTATGCACTGAAATCAGATCCTGAATTTTGTAACGAGATTCTGGGCTCCATCTTGTCTACTTGTTCAAAAAATGTCTATGAGATCATTATTGATTTTGATTGGTATGTGTCACTTCTTGGGGAAATGGCAAGACTTCCACATTGTCAAAAGGGAGAAGAAATTGAGAACCAACTTGTAGATATTAGTATTAGGGTGAGAGATGCTAGACCACAGCTTGTTCGTGTTGGGCGTGATCTGCTTATTGATCCTGCATTGCTTGGGAACCAATACATACACTGTATATTATCTGCTGCTGCTTGGGTGTCTGGTGAGTTTGTTCAGTTCTCAAAGAATCCACATGAACTTATTGAAGCATTGCTTCAACCGCGAACTAGTCTCCTACCACCTTCAATAAGAGCAGTGTTTATCCAGTCTGCACTCAAGGTGTTGACCTTTTGCATTGGTCACTATCTCTTCTCAGGTCAGCCTGTTTCTTCTGGAGTAACACATTTAATCCCATTCGAGACTACAGATTCCAATATACCCATTAGTAATACTTCACCAACTGGAATTGAAACAGACGAGGGAATCAGTCCATGTGCTTTATATTGGCCAGCTGTAGATGGAGATGTTTCTAGAGAATCTATTATAAATCTTTTCAATCTTGTAGAAGCAGGTCTGCATCCATTATTAGGGAGTCATGAGGTGGATGTACAAGAAAGAGTAAGAAACGTCATAGGATTTGTTGAATTGCTGCGTGATGAATTTCCTGGTTTTTTTGCCCAGAGGGAAGGTGAAAATGGAATAGGAGGAGAACTAAAAGCTCATGAAATTATCAAACTGATGCGTGGTGCATTTTTGGAGGAACTAGTTCCTATATCTCTAATTTCTCAGGAAAGGGTACCTTTACCAGATGGACTAGTTCTTAATGAGAATCTCAGAGACCTAGAAGCAATCTGTGGTGGTGATATTGTGTTGCCCACATCAGGTTTATTTTCTTTTGGAAGACCACATCATGTTGAAAAAAATGATATTCATGGTTTTAGCCAAGAGAATGAGGAATCTGAACCAATGATTGAGTCGACATCTCTACTTGCCGAGCATCGTAAGAGGCATGGCTTGTATTATTTACCTTCGGACACTATGAAGGACACATTACCTGATGATGACTACCCTCCTGCTAATGATCCTATTATTGGAGGAGATACTGACAAGACAGCGGATCTTATCAAGCTAACAGAACAATCTTTTATGCCAAAGAGGAAACCAAACCAAACGAAGCCTAGGCCTGTGGTGGTAAGGTTGGATGATGTTGATGGAACAAATATTGTGCCCAAAAAGCTTGAGTCGAAAAATGATCTAATATCAGGTGCGGTTCGAGATGTTCTTAAAGGTGATGATGATTCTCTAGCATCTACATCACGGGGTATGAAGCCTGAGAAGTTATTATCAAGAAAGAGAAGGGAGAAGCAATCAAATATAGATAACACTTCTGGACGAACTGATGACTGGATGACTGCCAAGAGCACTGAGAATGAGGATTCAGTGAAGAGCAAGCACCATGGTCATGGTAAAGAGAAGAAAACTAAAAATCCGGGCAAGAACAAATCCCGACTTCGACCAAATATAGCTACATCTATTGAAGCTCAATCACCTGTCATTCCTGATTATCTCTTGTAGCATTGGAGGTTCAGACAAATAGAAACTTAAAGTTTTGAAGGTGAGCTCTGTACATCCATCAGCATACTCTTTCCTCTTGGTTATCAATACAACTCTTTTGAGTAGGACTGGCGTGTTTTTTCGAATCTTCATAAATATTAAGAAATGATATTTTATGTCCACACGATCTAGCCTAAGTATTACAAAGAGCCAATAGTAACTCATCTGCACCAGGTCTTCCTTAACACATTGATTGATTCACACTTTAATAGTACTCTTTCACTACTAGTAGCCTAGTTTTAATAGTACTCTTTCACTACTAGTAGCCCACTTTTCATTTTGCAAAATATATATTGTTATTGCCCCTAGTATTTGTGACATGCTCCTCAAGTAGCAGGAAGTACTGTAGTATCATTATACTCCGTAATTTTTACATAAAGTGTTTAATCAACAAGTTCTATAAAACGTTAGACATAAAATTGATACTAGTATATCGCAGTAGCAAGGTGGTGGGTGTGTATGAGCATTTTTTTAGGGTATCAGAGACACAACTTTCCTTCGTGCCTTCTTTGAATATCACTCACAAATCACTATCAGAACTGCAGCATAAGAAAGCTCCAGAATACTGGAAGGAGCTGCAACTGTCACAGAAGGAAGGTCAGTTCACACTTTATTTGGGAAAAAAACTCCAAAAGGAAAGGGATTGCACTTGGTCGAGAAAAGGTATAAACGTACCAAATGAATATGGGAACCAAAAAGGATAAATTGATGGCAGATTAGCAGGGTATGAGGTCAAAATCAGTTGATGAAACTTTCGTGGCTTAACTCTCTTCAAATGAAATGCACGTTTGATGGCATTTTGTTTATGCTTGTCTTAAAATCTTATTATTAGCAACTGTTTACTTATTTTACTGTGCTTCACAAATCAGCGGATATGTAAAATGGTCATTCAGTATTGAGAAATTTAACCAATAATTTGGAAAGTAGTTTTTTAATTTTGTTCTAAGATTTTTTATTCATTAATGCCCGGCAACCATCTCTTCTTAAAAAAATATTATTTCCCTCGTTCCATTACTTTTGTTCCATCTTTTTTATATAGCCAATCTCACTTATATAAAAAAGGATAAAAATATGAGTTAATAAAAAGGATCAATCCTCTACACGTATATTTTACCTCCATTTCAGCTTTTCAAAACTCATACTCTTGCGCAATCCGAAATATTTTGGAATATTATTGGTGTTGTGTGATCTAATTGACTTTCGTATATTTTGGTTCGGTGCGCTATGAACTGGTCTTATTTGTTCGGAGCCATCCTAGTACCTTGTTTGATTATGTTCAGTTCGATATGAACATATAAAAAATTTAATAAAAAAGGAAAAAAAAAAGGAAAAAAGAAAAAAAGAAAAAACAAAGTCATTTGTCAATACTTGTAGCCAGTAGTCATCTAATTAATGAAGTACCAAAAATGTCTTTTAATTGATGCCTAATTTGACATAACAATAAAATATCTGTCATTAACTATTGATAAAAATGTCAATAACTATAAAATCACGGCCAAACTAAAATAGGACACCACCTATGTGTTAGGCGTCACCATGTCGGACGAGAATCGAAAATAATATATTTTGACCAATGTTTGTATATATCAATGCATTCAGCACCAAAAACGCGATGGAGCCGTTCGTATTGAAGTTGTCAAACCAAGTAATCAGATCAAACGGGGTGATATATTATATGGTTCATATGCAACGGAAAGACCATTTCTCCCAAGGTTGGGAGTTCCATACGAGGAAACCCTGTCCCTAATTTCCCCTAGAAATATGCACATCTTTTTCCCCAAAAGAGTAATTTCAAATTCCTGCGATCTTATTGTTTTTCGAAGATCAGAAGACAGTTTGGAGTACTTGAGATTCGGCCACTTGGTGTGTATGTATAACAAAAGCTAATGAGGAGTAATTGACGTTGGTATTCTCAATCTCTTTCGTCACTTTCTCTCTAAATAAATCTTAGGCTCCTTCCTTCTGATGTTATTAACATGCCTGCAACTCTTTCATCGTTGCTATTTACTCATCCAAAGAATTTCATCGGTAATTTGCTTTAAACCATAGCTCAATTAATCTATGTATTTCATTTCTATCGTTTGTTTCGTGTTCTTTGATCGGTTGGATTGATTCTATTACAAACATTGATTTTCTACCTTCCTAGCTAGCTTAATTAGTTAAGTCACACATATTAGCAAACATCAAAGCTCAAATACAAAAGAATCATGAAATAAGGCCAGATCAAAAAGAGCTGATCAAACATCAAAGCTTCTTGAATTGGTGATCAATTGATTACAATTAAGAATCTTTGTATTCCTACCCGGCCTCACCCCCACCCACCCCTTCCACAACACCATCCTACATAGGATAGATGTGATGTACCAACATTTGTGTCGACAAAAATATAATAAAAAGTCCCCTCATCTTCTAGCTTAGCTCCATTTTGATCTTATATCATTTCCCTCTACCGTGAAAATGAAGAATGAAAAAACCCCATTAATGACATCAAATAAGCTCATGAATTCTCAAAGGAATATTCAGAACCTCATTCTCTATTTCCTATTTTTTGTCTCCGGTTTAGTCATTGGAATGTCCATAAGTTTTTACCTAAAAGCCCCTCCCTTCAACCTACAACTCAAGCTGTTCTCCGCCCACCCCCCACCACTGAAGCCGCCCGCTCCTCGAAAAGTCACGAATGAACCCCTCTCCGACTTCCCTCAGCTGGATGTGACGACATTTTCGCAGTCGGAATCTCCACCGCCCCCGAAAAAACGGGCAGAATATAAACGGGTAGTGACGACATCCGACTCGTTCGGGAAATCCAGCCTACAAGAATACCTTAAGCCACCGCCGTGCATGCATGGGATGAGTGATGAGGAGCTGCTGTGGAGAGCATCAGTCGTCCCAAGAGTGAAAAATGCGCCCTTTACTTACCGCCCCAAAGTTGCTTTCATGTTCTTGGCTAGAGGGAGCTTGCCATTGGCGCCTCTTTGGGAGCGGTTCTTCAAAGGGCATGATGGTCTTTATTCCATCTATATTCATTCCCAGCCATCCTTCAATGGAATTGCTCATGGAGAAGGTCCTATGTTTCACGGGAGAAGAATACCTAGTAAGGTAAGTCACTCATTTTGTTCCTTTACTATTACTTACTCCGTATTTATTTTACTTATAATTTTGTGAATTTTAGAATTTTCATATCCCAATTTTAGTTTAAATAGGACCCACTTTGTATAATTTGGGAAAATCCCATGAGTAAAAACGTTGTAGAATTCAAAAGTAAAATTGTCATATTTTTATTTTATTATCTAAATAAAAATAATTACTGTCAAATTTATGAAATATTGACATATTTAAACTCCAGTAATGTCATATAAGATATGATAGTAATTACTCTTATTTAAAAAGTAAAAATATAAAAGACTTATTTTAAAATTCACAAATAATTTACTCTTATTTATGACAATTATTTCTTATTGTCCACACTAAGGCTATGGATACAATGTAACACATGCATTTTGAAAGTAATACTATATACCGTATAAATGAATGCCTAAAATAGTACTCATTCATTCTTATTTGAAGAACTTTTGTACTTTATAAATAGGATTAAATGAGTCTTATTTTAGAAATAAAATATACTCAATAATTAGTTTTAGATGCACACTTTGTTTATGGTTTAGTTTTATATGTATTGAGTAATTTCATGAAAATAATCTATAACTCATTTCTCGACGACAATATTAGTGTTCTTAACAATAATTTAAAAATAAAACAAATAAATTGCAACCTCCGGTTACCACCGCTAGATTCAGCCACCTCTACGCTTTAATTTCCTGTCCTTGCTACAATCTCCGTTATTGATATGCCAACCCTAAAATGAGACAAATTGTCATTGAATTGCCTGAAAAATGAAATAAATTCATTGTTAAATTGTAACACCACGGAAGAACTTTATAGTTTTAGAACGTACATAAACATAACAGTGTTTTAGAACTTACAACAGTACATTAATAATAATCTTACTTACTTCGTATTAAATGAAAAGCGAATGAACTTATGAAATAAATCGGCCATCCACTTCATGCTCTTCAAGACTTCAACTAATTAAAACAGTGTTTTAGAACATAACAATAACCTTTTTTTTTCAACTAATAATAACCTAATCAAAATTATTTGGCCACTACTTTAATCCTATCATCCATTTTTTGTTAAGACTCGGGGTTCCATCCTAAAAGGTCAACCTGATAGGAGGAGTAGCCCGTGTTTTAATATAGCACTTTGTTCATCCAAATGCTTCCGGTGTGGGACATTTAACACCCCTCCTCACGACGAGACACTTCGTCTGAATTGTGCAATCATTCATTTTTTTCATCGGTCTGTTTTTTTAATCCGGCCGTTTTTATAATCGTGTCATCATTTTTCATAAGGGGCCCCACACCATGGTTCGATTTGGCTCTGATACCATGTTAAGACCCAGGGTTCCTTCCATCTTAAAAGGTCAACCTGATAAGAGGAGTAGCCCGTGTGTTAATATAACACTTTGTTCATCCATATGTTTCCGGTGTGGGACATTTAACATTTTTTATACGGAGTATATTGTCCCGTGGTATATAACTACATTTCTTATTTATTACTCCGTCCTTGTTATATACGAAGTATACTTCAAGTCTTTAACTTTACTCACACACCATATTTTGACTTTGTATTGTTAAATAATGTTATAACAGAATATCATTAAATCATAAATGTTTTTTTTTGTCTTAATGTAAAAGCATTTTGTTGTTTTTATATGAATTGTTTTTATAAAATATGTTTGGATGCTGTTGTTGCGGTGGTTGAATGGTAAAGCATTTTAAAGCAAAGATGTGGACAGAATTCAAAGTGGCATGGGACGAGAGAGAAACGCAAGAACTAACAAAAACAAAAATTTCTATAGTTTAATTTTGCGTTTTTGTATATTTAGTAATTGCTTCCACGTAATATCAATCGCAGTGTGTAAAACTAGACCTTATGTTTATCATATGAACTAAAATTGTAGGTGAGCATTTCAGTACAAATCGGGCTTATGTTTGTCTATTTCGGCACAACATGGCCTAACATAATGGAATTAGGAACGTTTCTTAAAAGGAAAAAGAAAAAACTATTGTTACACATTTATTTATTGTACTCACACTTACACACTTGTGTATGTGAAGTGTTTTTTTGTCTGTATATAGACACAACGCATTTGAAGTGTCTGTGAAATAAGTTGTGTCTGTATACAGACAAAACAAAACGCTTCACAGACACGAACGTGTAAGTGTGTGTACAAAAATGTGTACCTCAAGTCTGATTGTTCTTAAAATATGATCTTCATAAACACATACATAGAATTACCTTATATTGTCCCAAAATCAATAAAGAACATTGTCATTTCGAAATCATACTTTCATATTATGAAAGGCTAAAGGGTCAAATAGGCCCTTGAACTGACTTAAAGTGTTCAATTAGCCCCTTATATAGGAGGTTCTGCCCGGCCGTCTCTAATTGGGGCGGTTCCCGGTGGAATTTTTTGATGAAATGTTTTGAGCATCTTCTTCATTAAGTCTAGTTTACCCATACCAAATTTCAGCTAAAAATTCAACCGGAAAGGCAGTCAAATGATTTTTCGAAATGTACTGCGCTGTTTAACTTCGCAGTTATCTTCAAAAAATCATTTGACTGTCTTCCCGATTGAATTTTTAGCTGAAATTTGGTATGAGTAAACTAGACTTAATTAAGAAGATGCTAAAAAACTTTCATCAAAAAATTCCACCGGGAACCGCACCAATTAGCGACGGCCGGGCAGAACCTATTATATAAGGGTCTAATTGAACACTTTAAGTCAGTTCAGGGGCATATTTGACCCTTTAGCCTATTATGAAATAATCACACGTTAATATCGCAGTACTATGCTTTTATAGTACAACTACTACGTATAATATATCTTATTTATTGATTTTATTCCTATTTAGGAAACACATATAGTACAACTATGTAGTGCAATCACATCAATTTTACTCCAATTTAGGACATAATTTCTTATGGAGTTAAACCAACAAACTTGGACTAGAAACAAATCATGTGCAATTCAATTATCAGTTCTCCACCACCTTTACCTTTTAAAACCATATAAATCCTAATCAAGACATAATACAATCAAACTAAAAACAACTATATAATCTTAATACTATATCAGACCCTTGAAGAACTTCCTAATTTGGATTGGGCGCACTTTAATGAATTATGAGCTTTTGTTTGATTTCCATTCGGAATGCCCATATTTGCCTCTGATTTCCCTTTCAGGGAATAGTTTGTGTGGCTGACACTTCCCCTATATTTCAAAATCAATCACAAACATACATCTCATTTTGAGATGGATACAATATTATTGATTACACTCGTTTGACACTTTCCCTTGGGGTAGTAATAAATTGATGATAATTTATTTATCATACAAGGAAAGAATATAAATTAAGAACCGAGAAATATACATTTTAAGAAAATTCATGATAAAACCAAACCGGACCGGCTAAAGCAAGACAAGCAACCAATGTGGAATCCAAATATAATTTGATTGTAGTTTGATAATCATTCTTCATTCTTTATTTCCCCAATTTCAGTCAATTTGATAATTATACTCCAAAATAAAGTGAGACGTTTGATATAGAAAATGATTGGAAATTGTTATTGTTGGACATGCATGCAGACAGTAGAGTGGGGAGAGTTCAACATGATCGAGGCGGAGCGGCGGCTAATGGCGAACGCGTTGCTGGACTTCTCCAACCAGCGCTTCGTCCTGCTCTCGGAAGCCTGCATCCCGCTGTTCAACTTCTCCACCGTCTACTCCTACCTCATGCGCTCCACCAAGAGCTTCATCGAGGCCTACGACCTCCCCGGCCCAGTGGGCCGCGGCCGCTACAACAAGCTCATGGAGCCCGACATCACCCTCGACCAGTGGCTCAAGGGCTCCCAGTGGTTCCAGGTCCACCGCGACATCGCCGTCGAGCTCGTCGCCGACACCAAGTACTTCGCCCTCTTCAGGGACTACTGCCAGCCCGCCTGCTACTCCGACGAGCACTACTTCCCCACCTTCGTCACCATGAAGTTCTGCGACAACAACTCCAACCGGACGCTGACCTGGGTTGACTGGTCCAAGGGTGGCCCCCACCCCTCCACCTATGATGGCCCCGACATCTCCGCTGACTTCTTGAACACCCTCAGGAATGGGACCCGCTGCCAGTACAACGGGAGGACAACCGACATTTGCTACCTCTTTGCTAGGAAATTTTTGCCCACGGCGTTGAATAGGCTATTGAGATTAGCACCAAAAGTCTTGATGTTTAATTAATCATTATTTATCAATCAATATACCAAAATTACGGAGCACTAATCACCTCTTTAATTATTACTCCGTATTACTTTCATTAGCCTCAATTCCATCATCCACCTTCAATTCTTTCATTTTATATTTTTTATTATATATTTTCATAATACTCCGTATAACATTCTTTTTTATAGTTATAACCGGTCAATAGCCACTTTTAACAAGAGCAATGGACGGGTAAAATGCATAAATCCTACCTCAACTATTTGTAATGTTGCATTTTGGTACCTTAACTCTTAAATGAATCAAAACGGTACCTTATCTATACATAAATGTTTCAAATTGAGATTTTATTCAAATTTTTAACAAAAAAAGTCATTCATAACGATCAAAATTTCATGCGTAGAGTCACCCTATAGTGATTATATGGACAAAATAAGTTGAAATAGATTTTACGTATAGAATTCTAACCGCCACATATAATATTTTGGTCGAAAATTTGAATAAAATCTCAATTCGAAACATTTGTGTATAGTTATGGTACCATTTTGATTCATTTAAGAGTTAAGGTACCAAAATGCAACATTACCAATAGTTGAGGTACCATTTATGCATTTACCCCGCAATGGACGATTACAGCAAAAATCCACATGTATGTAGGGCCCCAATATATGTAGCAGTACGTAGTAGGTTTAATTTTTCACGATTTAACAAGATTTAATTTTAGGTTTAATAGGGTTTAATTTTCCAATCAAACATTAGAGTCCAGCTGGTTGTGAGGTTACCGTGCCTAGTGGGAGTCTCGAGTTCGAAACACACTAGGCACATAACGGTTCGAAACTCAATGAAGCGAGTTTCATCCCTGATTACTCCAGGCCCCCAACCCCAAACCCCCCCTAGAAAAAGAAAGTTTAAATTTTCCACAGTAATCATATATAGGGCTAGGTCCAAAAAATCGAAAACTGAATCAAATTAACTTGAACCGCGGCCAAATAAAATCGAAACGCTAAAAAACAGAACCGAACTGTAGTTGTTTGGTTTGGTTTTGGTTTTTACTCTTCAAAACCGAATCGAACAAACCAAACTAATTAAAATATGAAATTTTATTTGTTAATTGTTAAACATTAATTCTAATTAATGCTAACAGCATCAATAGTCTTTGGTACGGTGTTCTTGTGCTAGAAATATAACGTTTGTGTTATGTTTAGTTTAGTTTACTTTATAAATGCATTTCACATTCATTGCATGTAATAATGTAGTTATATTGATCTATTATGTCTTTTATGTATGTATGTTGTAATTTGTCGAATGATGATATGTTTTTACTGGTTATTAGTAGTAATAACTTATTACTAGTAATTAGCTTTTATTTTTATGTAACTTAAAGTTTTTATATTGATAATACAAATAAATATTCATCTCAACTATATATAAGATGTGACGTATATATTCATCAACCTTTTTCAGACTAGTCTCAAACAATGTAAATTAAGAATATAAACACTTTTATCTCTCCCGCATACTCATATAATTCAAGACATATTTATTTCTTCTCATTTATATTTTATTTGTTTTAGTATGCTTGCATTTTTTATGTAATATGTTTGATTCCTCTAACTATTACGGAGTATATCAATTTCAAATCAAAAGACAAATTTTTAGTAAAAATCCGAAAAAATTGGAGTGTAAAACCGAACCGAAACCGACCGAACTTTATAGTTTGATTCGATATTTGGTTTTAGGCCAAAACCTAATCGAAAGAACCAAACTCACCCCTAATCATATATGTATTGCAAAATAACTAGACTATCTGGTACATAAAGAGTATAGGACTTATTTGATTCATAATTTTGCCTTGAAAACTATTAGGAGGACAGCCAATCAAGCGCTCTCCGAGCGCTCTCTCCAGCGACTCCCAATTCATCTCACTCGGCGTGCGGGAAAGGTCGCGTGGCGTGCGGACTTTTGCCGAAATTTTATGAAACTTTGCCACCCCCACTTGGCGAGCGGATGTCAAGCGCTCGCCAAGCGCACCTTAGCTTCTAACTTGGATTTTTGGTCGTTCTTCTACCCTTTTCGCCCGTGATTGCTCTCGTGCTTGATTCTTTGACTCTCCTGACTTCAAAATCACGTGGACCTCCAATGCTTTTTGCCATCTCTCGAACGCGTTCCATTAACTCTTCTCTTAAATAATACTCAATCGCCGATGTCTGGTCCAAATTCGTGATTTTCTCTTCTAAACACAAACCAAACCCGGTAAACCGTGACTTGAGCTAACTAAACACTTTGTGACTCAAAAAGATTAGGAAAAGTGACAAAACCCGATCCCAACACGCATCAAATGCGTGTTGAAATACGAACTTATCCCTATCCTTTGAACCACTTGGGACAATTCATCTTAGCACTCTGCTTCAACACCTCGGTCGATTCCGTACGTACTTGATGTAGAATTGCAGGCGATCCATCAAGCAGCTATGTGGATTTCAAAGCAAGGCTACACCAGAGTCACCTTTGAATCGGACTCTAAACTTAGCATCTCCCTCATCAAATAAGGGAAACTATCAGGCGAGAATAGGAAAGTCATTGAGGAACTTAGAACTTGTGCTTTCATGGAAAGATCATTTTTTCACTCACACCTACGCACAAGGAAACGAATGGATCGACCCATCATATGGACTGTCACTCAACTAAGGAAGGTGGTTTAATTACATTTTGGACCCATGACGCACTACCAGCCCAAGTACAGGAAGCACTCAGAATTGACATTATGGGTCTTCCATTCTTTCGGTATTAATGTATATATATTTCAATCTCAGGGTTTTTATTATTCTGTGAGGACGTCCTTACCGGAACCCCATGCGAACAACACCATCAGAGCGTTTTTCCGGTGGAATTTTTTGATGAAATTGTTTGAGCATGTTCATCATCAAGTCTAGTTTAATTTATGCATACCAATTTTCAGTTTAAAATTCGATCGGGAAGGCAGTTAAACAAATTCTCGAAACATACTGTGCATTTTATACATAAGTAAGTCCTCACAAGAACCCCTGTGCGGACAACACCATCAGAGGGTCTTTCCTCTGGAATTTTTATAAGAAACTTTTTGGGCATGTTCCTCATCAAGTCTAGTTTATGCATACCAAATTTCAGCTCAAAATTCAATCGGGAAGGCGGTTAAACTAATTCTTGAAACATACTGCGCTTAATATATGTAAGAGAAGAGTCGTCACTTGGAGTGGTGGCTTTTGTACTGTGAGAGAAGAGCCGCCACTTGAAGTGGCGGCTTTCTTAACCACGGTTAATCCAACAGTATTTTGGGAATTATTTTTAACCCATCGGTATTTTGGGATTTATTTATTTAATTAGCATTATTCCGGGAAAAAACTCTTTTACCATAAGGCACAAGTTTGACCATTAATATCTTTCATTCCTTATCAGTAAAAAAATTTAAAAAATTCATATTTTGAAAATTTAGAATGAGAAGAATTTAACAATATTTTTTAAACATTTAATTTATAATACATTAATTAATAAAGTATAGTCAAAGTAAAATATGGGAATAGTGCAAAAAGTTCAATGTTGCAATTAAAAGAGAATAGAGATAGTAGTATGTATATATGTATGTATGTATGTTGTCATAGCGTAACTAGCTTTAGAAATAAGCATAATATACTTGCAAACAAAATAAAGGAACAAAAACAAAAACACATGTAATACCAATTAAGCACGCACCATTTGTCAAACAAAATAAATAGGCACATGAAATAATTTCGGAAAAAAAGAAGGTAATTAAGCCGCCACAGTTGGATAGGAAGGAACCATGGCAAGGCCACAGAGTCCCCTCGGGTCAGAAATGCCTCTTTCCATTCTAATGTAACCCATTTCACCCCATTCAAGCCCCCATGAGTTCTTTACCACCCAATACTCCCTGCCCTCAGTTTTCCCATACCCGACGATCGTGACGCCGTGATCAAGGTTGTATCCGCAGCTGCCGGAGAACACGCCTTTGCGATAGAACTGGAACGCCTTTTGGCCTGCCTGAATTACGACGGAGACCGGCTGGTTAGCCACGGCCAGTAACAAAGCCCTCTCGTCATTAATCGGAACGTTTTTGTAGCCTGTGATCCATGCCGCTGCCTTTATGGCCGACGAGATTTTGCTGCGGCAGCCGGTCCCGTTTACTCCCGTATATGGGTAGTTGTGATCATCTGTGAGACCATTGTTATTGATGATAAACTCGAAAGCTTGGCCCATATTTCCTCCGTTCTTGCAACTCATATTCATGGTGTTGCAATCTATCAGTTGCTGTTCAGAGAGTGAAATTAGGTTCCCCGTTGATATTGCGTGGATGCCCTCCACCGCCGCAACAGCAGAAAATGCCCAACAGCTTCCTGTAACCAATTAAGCACTACTTTTATTAACCGAAAATTCCATATACTAAAACATTCGGATCGAGTAGTACCACCTTCAATTCATCCATTAAACCTTTATTTTTATTTATTAATTTCCATGCATATATCTTTCACTTCAAATTTTCAAGTCAATTACTGTTAAACATTTTCCAATGATATCATTTTTTTTACTACCGAGTATACATATTCTTTTGAAGGCTATAAATTTCATACGGAGTACGTAATTCCTTTTGTAAAGTATACATATAATGGCGTTAATCTGTTAAGACCGGTTCCATCTAAAAATCAACTTGATAGGAGGAATAGCTCAAATCTTTAATATAACACTTTATTAATACGTAGTATATCAATATGAACTATTGATACGGTAGTACGTAGTACGAAGTATAATTTATGAAGTGCGTACACATGCATATATATATATATATATATATATATATATATATATATATGAAGTGCGTACACGTGCATATATATATATATATATATATATATATATATATATATATATATATTATATGTGGTATGTAGTAATAAGACTGCACACAGCACATATATATACGACGTACCACATTGGCCTTGATCCTTGACAGGAGTAACAGCTCCTTTCTTCTTCCAATTGAGGCTCGTTGGAATTGCAGTGAAATTCCTGTATTTAAAGGTGTCGTGGGAAGAAGGCTTCCCATCATTATTATCATTGAGATGAAGATTGCGGCGGCTACTATTGTATCCAGTGGTTCTAAGGGCTCGGAATTCTTGATTAGTCAAATCAGCGAAGGCATTGACGCCGAGCCTAAAAGACCGGTTCTTCTTCTCCCGGTTGAAGGCGTGAATGAACTCCAGGTTCTCTTTGAATACTGCGAACCGAAACTCCTTCTCCATCTCGTCTTCATACACACGCCCATAGTAATTCATCCATTTCTCGTGCCCCTCTTGCGTTATGGTTAGCACCGACGAGGTTGTAGTGATCATCGTCATCGTCACAATTAAGACTAGGCAACTAAATCTCTTCAATCTCACCGATGATGAATCCATCATGTATATATTATCAAGCTATACGGAGTAGTATATAATATACTCCGCTGACAAAAGGGTATTTATACATTATATACATATCCATATATATGTGTGTGTGTGTGTATATATATATATATATATATATATATATATATATATATATATATATATATATCAAATGGATGATGGAGTACGTCATAGGTTATGCAACCTCACTACAGTAGACTAGTAGAGTGGAAAGAATTGCAAAATAATTCTGCAGTGAGAATGAAAACATTAATTGTGGACTTTATGTTGCGGTTATAACCCGGTACCACATCCAATCAGAGATTTTTTTGTATCGGATTGAAGTCATACTATTTCGAGATCTGTGCCCGCAACGGTAAACACGGAGTACTAAATAATTGAATCTAATTTGTAAAATTAGGGAAATTAATGAATTTTCACATTTTAATGTTTTTGATAACTTACTTTTAGCCAGTTTTAGGTATCATAAATTTTTATCCAAAACAAATTAATTTAGCATACTAACTCTAATTCATGTATGATGAATAGTTATATTGTTCAATGTGTCGAATGGAAAGACTATTCCATCATGCCATTTTCTTCATGGTTTGGGTCGACGGTCACCTCATTTCATCTTCTTTAACTATTGAATAATAATTAATGAGTACTACTCCTAGGATCGGAATAACTATTAGAATATAGATTGGATTACTTTTAGGGCAGATTCAGAAATTTAATTTGGAATGGACTGAAAAAAAATCATATTAATAGCGCTAAAGTAAAAGCGGATGGGCTGCAGTAATAATTAACTCATTAGGATTTTATAATCATGGTTTCAAGTTTACAATTGTATTTTATTATTATTCTTCATATATACTCGTACTATTTTAAAGAATGTCTAATACTCTTTCCTTTCCATAAAATTATTTCTGTTTTGTCATTTTAGAATGTTTCAAAAATTTCTTCCAATTTCTATTTTTGAAAAATTTTGTGACTAACATTCAACTACGGTCATATATTTTCACTTTATTCTCACTTTCTTAAACATTGATTCAAGTCATGACTGCAAATAATTTTATACTACGATAGAATTGAAATGCCAATATTGTGTAAGCGAAGATTACAATATCTAAAATTCTAAATCCTCTTGGACAATTTTAATTGTACTCGATCACCAATATTTTCACTGAGACTTCCATAAAATCAACGTACCTTTATTCTAATCAAACCGATAGCAAATTTGAAACCACGGCTGGACAAAGCTGGATCCCAATCGTAGCAGTTGCCCCTTGAGTTATGGCTTTATTCCCGCCTTGTGTTCTGATCGCTCGTCCTACTTTGCTTCTTTTGACATGGAGAATGTGAATGCGATTTTCAACTTTTCTTATGATGGAGCTTATACATACGCATGCAGTACAGAAAGAAAGATTATTGGCAGTCAAAAAACAAAAACAGTACTTTGGTATTAAAAACAATTATCATGAAAAAGGATGACCTCATTCTTGAGGTTTCCCCAGTCGGATGAAAAGTTATTTGGACTAATGTAAATTAAGTTTCTATCACAAATTATATTGGTGAAGAGAAAGTGAGATTTTAGCCACAAATTAATTTCTTGAATTGAACTTAATGTCTCTCTGTCGTTGTGGCAGTACTTTCTCCGACTAATTGAGCTACATGACAAAACAATTAAGGCAGAGGTACGGTACACTCTTAATTTTAAGATGTACCGTAGAAATTTCCTAAGTTTATACGTATTTGGATCGTTCTTTTTTGCAGTTTCGGCCACAACTATAGCTGTCAAACAGGCCAACCTGATCCAACCCGTAACAGGTTATAGGTTATGCTTTACATGGGTTGGGTCGGGCCAACCCATTTAGTGACGGGCCAAAATTTCTACAATCCTAATTCAACCCACCCAATCGGCAGGTTAAACGGGTCGGCCCGCAGGCCAATGTAAAAGAATATGTGACAAAAGATTCTTGAAAAATAATTATCTTGGGGTATACATTTAGATTAGTAAGTAGTAATAAAGGAAATATAAAAAATCAAAATACTAAGAACCCAATACTTTGTTAAGTTTAATTAAAAAATATTAAATACTAGTTATATGAGAATTTGAAAACTATGTGGGAGTATGTAACAAAAATACTCATTGTATAAAAGTAAAGATCTACCACTACCAAAATGCTTCGTTATAGGCACGGTTATTTGGCACGGAACACGTCCGTACCAAATTAGTCTCGATTGTTGGCTGGCAACAGATAAATCGCCACTCTTGGCAGGGAAATGTTGCCACCAGTCGATATTTCGGTGTTGGGCACGGAATTTCCGTTCCAAAGATGAAAAAAATTAAAAGTTTTGGATAGCAGCCAGATCCGACTCAATATCCTTTCCAAATTGAGTCGGTTAAGCAATTGAGCCAAAATTTTGAGACAAATTCTGTTCTAGTAACGGGAAAATTCTAAAAAATCAAATGGATTTAATCTGGTAGGGAATATTTCGTGCCAAACTATTCCGTGCCTATGCCCGTGCCAAAAAGTTACCGTTTGGTCATTTCAAAAAATCCGTTTCCAAATGTATCCGTTGATTTCCAAGACACTTTCCGTGCCAAAAGTATCCGTTATTTTTGGAAATTTTGAAATTCCGTGCCAAAAAACCGTGCCAAATATTTCTATAAATAGAACGCCCTACATCATATTATATATTCATTCAATTCAATGAGTTGATAATAAGTACTGATAAATTTCCAAAAACATGGAAAGCAGTATTCGTTTCTATTTTGGATGTGGCTGAAGTATTTATATTTGGATTTCTTAAAGTAATTATCATCAGCTTATAAGGTATGTAACATTTTCATTTTAACTTTTAATTATTATATCATGCATGTGTTGAATTATGATTATTATGAATGAGCTTATACCCGTAGTTTATAATTTCAAGGTTTACTAGTTGAATGTACTTGCTTAGTCAATAAATAAATAATTTTTTTACATTTTTTAATCTTCAGGCCCAATGAATACAGAAAATAGAAATTGGATGTATAATCAATATGTTGGCAATGGTAGAGGATTGACACATGAGTTTAAGAATAGAGTTACTGAATTTGTTAAGTGGGCACAACAACAAACACGATACATGGATGGAAATAAGATAAAATGTTCGTGTAAGAAGTGTAAAAATAAAAAAAAAATGCTTCGTGAGGACGTGTGTTGGGATTTATATACTAATGGTTTTATCGAAAACTATTACAATTGGACTTCTCAAGGAGAACCGATTGAGGCATGTTGTTTGCTTCAAGCTGTGGGAACATCTTACTATGTTCCCGACGAGATGGCTGCCTGGGGAAATTATGTAGATATGGAATGGGAGCAAAGAATGCTTTATGATTTGGTTGGATCTTCTGCATTTCACAATACTCAAGTCATTATCAAACACATAATTCTATTTTTCTTAAAAATTACATCACTCTCTTCCGTCCCAATATTAGGGGGCGGAGGGAGTAACTTTTGAACTCTAATTTTATCATTCATTAAGATTTCACTTATAATGTGTCTTAAAAATACAAGAGTAATTTTTCCCGTGCATCGCACGGGTTACATACTTGTTTCAATTTTAAAAGTGCATTTGATGAGGTGGAATCAGAATGAAGAGAGGGAATCTATTCAAAATTAAATACTCACTGATTGATATATATGTATAAACGCAATAGTTATCACTATATTTCCATAACGCAACTAGCTTTAGAAATAAGCATTCTTACCAACAACATAAAGGAACATAAACAAAAGCACAAATAATACCAATTAAACACATTGTTACCATTTGTCAAACAAAAGAAATAGGCAGATAAAATAATTTTGAAAAAGAACTTAATTAAGCCACAGTTGGATAGGAAGCACTCATGGCAAGTCCACAGAGTCCGTTCGTGTCAGAAATGCCTCTTTCCATTCTAATGTAACCCATTTCGCCCCATTCAAGCCCCCACGAGTTCTTTACCACCCAATAATCTGTGCCGTTGATAGTTTTTCCATACCCGACGATCGTGACGTCGTGATTAAGCTGGGTCCCGCAGCTGCCGGAGAACACGCCGCTGCGGTAGAACTGGAATGCGGACGCCTGTTGGCCTACGTCAATTGAGACGGAGACCGGCTGGTTAGCCACGGCCTGTAACAAAGCCGTCTCGTTATTAACTGGAACGAGTTCATAGCCCGTGATCCCGGCCGCCGGCGATATTTTGTTGCGGCAGCCGGTCCTGTTTAATCCCGAATATGGGTAGCTGTGATCATCTGTGAGACCCTTGTTGTTGATGATATACTCGAAAGCTTGGCCCACACCTCCTCCGTTCTTGCAACCCATATTCATGGTGTTACAATCTATCAGTTGTTGTTCAGAGAGTGAAATTAGGTTCCCCGTTGATATTTCGTGTATGCCCTCCACCGCCGCAACAGCAGAAAATGCCCAACAGCTTCCTGTGCATGCACAATATTTTTATCATACGGACTGTTCCAAAACATCATTCTTCCTTTTTCAAATGGGTGATAAGTTTTCACCAATCATTTTGGTTATTTTATTTTTGGAAAGTTATAAATTTTATACGTAGTACTTTTTAAAAAGAAAAAGAAAATAATACTCTAACTTTTGAAATGGTGTGAGGTAACTACCCCCACTTATACATGTAATACTTCGTTTGTATATCTCGAACTTTATATAAAAAAGTTATCTTAAAATCATAGAACTTTCATAAATGTAAATTTATGGTGTAAAATACATAATTTAGAATACTTTTTTAATTACTTTTAGCATTCGTGAGAATAGAGTTGTCATTCTAAACATTCATTGTGAAATAAATAATACGAAGTAATATCTTGTCCATATAATTATTGCACCACTTTGATATTTGTCGTCACATGACTTTCATTATCAACATATCTAATTTACCTTATAGTATTCAGACACTCTACTTTGAGTTTATTTTATACATTGATTTATTCGCCAATTTCTCAGACAAAACACTATAAATGTTGTACCGAATAAAAAAATTAAAATATGACATTTTACACTCTGTAATTTTTACTAATAATCAATGTTAATAGTCAAAGGCCCCATTTGGGTAATGGCGTTTTAAAAAAACGTTGTTATTTTTTGAACTACAATGGTTGCATTTTTCCGTGTGTAGATACCAACCAGATAGAAAACAAACATGGCCAAACTCGTGTGTTGACAAATATAAAATTGAAAGTATTGCAATTATATATATAGACTAAGGCAATATTAGTTACGTTACTTCACAAATATATTTATTGAATTAAAATTTATATTTACTCTATTGTAATTTTTAATTACCCAACTATCCACCCCTACCCCCACCGCACACTCCTGACTCATGTGTCGCTGTTGTTTCTAGCAACCACTCACTACCTTTGGCTACTACTGGAAACTGCTGCTTCTGCCGAGTGCCGGAAAACTTTAATGTACTGGAATTTTTATTTTATTTTTTTAATTTCCTCTAGAAACTTTTTGGCTTTACGGCAAGAGTGACACTACATGGTGGCAACAATGACATCTAAAGTCATTGGCAAGAGTGACACTCATGGCCGGATATAGGGGTGGGCCAACCAAGGCCCTGGTTAACCCCAAATTTTAAAAATGCTTTAATTTTTAAGGTATAAAGTTCTGTGTAAATTTTTTTCCAAAAAAAATATTTGTACCACCCCAGTGCCCCGGTTCCGCCCCTTATGACACTAGTACATGGTGGCAAATGGCAATAATGACATCTAAAGTCATTTGCTACCCGGCACAAATGTATTGGTTTTTTATTCCACGTCAGACATCATAAAAAAATACCTCTAAATTGCAAAAAAAGTCCCTCCTTAATTAGGTTAATTAACTGTAAAGAACAACATATCATCGGAAGTCCTTAAGCATCCCATCGAACAAGAACACTGCGATCTAACCTAACCTTCACCGGCCAAGATGTGACCGTCCTTGAGGTCTTCCAATTTGATTTACCGAAATCAAAGAAACTAGGGCTACGGAAACGAAATTTTAGGAGTCTTCTTGGATTCTTTATTTTTTATTTTTCTTATTTCGGAGTCTTGTAATCATCTTCTTCCTATCGTGTTCGTCAATTCTATCTTCAGCGACTCATCTTCTTCCTCCTATATGTCATTGTTTGAAGCTTTTTTCTGAAATGCTGAGCTTTCAATATGAAAAAGGAACCAGATATAATTCTTTAGGCCGCGGTTTTATACTATATATGTATAATTTAGCAACCCAATAACCTCAACTGAAATTAGAGAACTTATTTAATAGGAAATTGTATATGATCGTAGTA